TCTCTGTCTGCTCTGTATAAAGTGCTGCCACCACGTAACACCACCAAGCCTGCAGTGTGTAGGGTCCCAATTCTGCCAAAGAGGGGAAAGGATGGCAGGTCAGAGCTCAGCCCTTATGCTTGAGGCTTCTCCAGAGCCATAGGAAGTCATGGAAAAACAGAACTGTTTGCTTTAAGTGGCTGTGAGATGTGTGCCATCTCTTCTTTCCCTCCCCAGAGCTTGGAACTTCTAGGGGTGTTTGCAACCCACTTCCTACTGGTGACAGCTGGAGGGAGAGCAGCGAGCTGGGGAGAGTGTCAGGGACCTTGTTCTGAACTAGTTATGGATGTTTGGCACTCCTTCATTTTGTTTGCTTTGGAGGACATATTGCTACAGTAATGTGGGGGTTTTTTTTCCAAGTTAAACAGCAGTAATCTGCTGTTGCTGAAGGTGAGCCCAGAAAAAAAGCATGTATGTGTTCCAGAGCGTTTAGTACCAGTCAGTTTTGTGGGGGATAAAGAGCAGATGGACTAATCTACTATGACAGTTCCCATATAGCCAACAAGTCTGAGAATGGAGGAAGTGAGAAAGGCAAATGTCCGTGAAACCCACTGCAAACATTACAATACAATTCTGGTTTCCTGTAGCTGCTACAGGAGCTACAGTAATTTAATAATTACTATTTAGTAATGGGGGAGACAGATGCTGGCTCTACAAAAACACCACTAGTCTGTATAATTAAGATACTGTCTTTAACCTACTCCAGTCAGAGAAAGAAGAGAAAAAAGAGTCCTCAATTTTAGTAACAAATTAAATTACCTGCTTTTAAAAAAGGTATTTGCTTTTGTGAATAAATAAAACCTTGGAGTTTATGGACTGTTGTGCAAATGTAAACAAAACATATTCAGCTAGTATTTAAGACTCTCTGTTCTTTTTCTGCAGAACGCTGTGTTCTTTGCTGAAGAAGCATTAACTGCGGACCTTTGCTTCCTGATGCTGTTTTCTAACTGGTAACTGAATGCAAAAAGGGTGGTGGCTTCACACTAGAAATTCCTGGAATTTGGGGATCTTTCTAGCTAGTCTGACAGTAAAAAGAAAAAAATACTAGCAAACAGTTTATTGTTTACTCAAGGCTGTAATCTCACTGCTATGTTAGGAATAGTTTTGAGAGTCAGCTGGCAAGAAAAAGGTGGCAAAAAGATTAGCTACTTGCCATATTCAGTTATTTCTGGTCCCGAGTTCTGTTACTCATACCTGGCACACAAAGGCAGTCTCATGGAATGGGTAAATCTTGGTAAACATTTGCCATTAAGGGGATTCTAAACTAAATTAAAACTTTTTTTTTTAGTCCTGGATAAAGTACCATATTAAAACATTCATTTTCTAAAAGCTAGCTTATGAATCTATTTTTTACTAAATAATATACTCCTTCCACAACCTCTAGCAGGTGAGATGTTTAGAAGGAAATCTTCAGAACTAAAGCCTATCATAACTACTGTCTGTCACAACCAAATTAGGTCTTACCGCTGGAAACATGTAGCTGTTTTCAATATAAGGGTGGGTTAACATGGAGAAATAAGGTTCTGACCACTTTGGCAGTCAGGATGCCTCAATGTGTACATAATATTTATCAAGTTAATTGCTTTTTCTGACTTTTTTGAATTTATAATGCATTAAATATAGGCTTGAGTTGTCATACTCAGCAACTTACAGGACCAAGCCTTTGTATTGCAGATTTCTTGAGGTAGAGATTGTATCTTTGTTTTTTTAAAGTACTGTTTGCATAGCCCTACTTTTATGTTTTTTATGCATAGATATGCAGAATAATAGCATGGAAACGTTGTCAGACATCATGGGGTTTTGTTACTGGTCTTGTAAAACTGGTGTTTCCCTTAAGTATTCATCAACTGCTGTCAGGCAATTATATGAGAATCTCAGGTTTCATTTCATTTTAAAATAGGTTTTTGATGCTTCAACTTGGAAAATATCAACCTGCAGGTTAAAGAAGGAAAATAAAATGGGCTTGGCATTTATTATTTATAAGATGCTTTGACTTCTGACCCTCTTGCGAGTTGGCTGAGAATTGTTGGCTAAACAGAACCCGAGGGGTGTGTGAGGGAGCAGCTCACTAAAATAGCATAAGCTGCTTAAAAAGGCGAAAAGTCTGTAACCCCCTTATTTAAGGGCACTTGGCCTGAAGCGTTGGCTTTTTAAGAAAAAGAGAAATTTATCCTCTGTGAGCCTGCTCCCCTTGCAGGCTGAAAACCAGCCCAGGGGACCCTCTCTGACAGGCCGGGGAGCCACCGAAGCGGGCGCAGGGTCCGTGACGAGGTTCGCCCCGGGAGCCGAACGCCCCAACCGGCGGGACACCGGCCGGTTCCGTGCCGCCGGTGCTTTCCGGGCGGCTCCCGGGCGATGTCCCATGATTGCTATCGATCTCCGTGCCGGCTGCCGGGCGGTCATCGATCGTTAAGACCTCGCAAGCCGGTCCGCTGTGCCGACCGGGCCGGCACCGGGGGGACGTGCTGGTGGTCCTGGTCGCAGCCCTGAGGTGTTCGGTGTCCCGTCGTTCGCCTGACTTGTACCAATCCTGGGTTTTGGGTTGTATTTTGGGTTTTTTTCAGGCGTTTTAAATGGCATTAGGGCTGTTTAGCTGGTACGGGAAGTTATTCAGGGTGTAATTAATTAAGCCGGGCAAGTTCCCCGTTTCGGGGCGCAGCCGAGGACCGGTGGAAGCCGGAGCTGCCCGTCACGGAGCGTGCCCGAGTTTTCGGTTCATTATTAAACCTGCGAACGGACGTCGGGCTCCGGGGAAGGGGGTGTGTGTGTGTGAGAGAGGAGGGAAGCTCCCCTGGCCGCGGGGACCGGGGCAGAGCCTCCCGCCGCCCCCTGAGGCGAAGGGCGGGGCGGCGGGCG